CCTGCCACAAACACAAAAAGCTCTGGGTGCCTGTGAGGTAACATTGCACCCCCTCTTTGATATGAGAGGAGGGGACAGAGGGAACCCAGCATGGAGGGAGGACAGCGAACTACAAAACTTACCGAGTGAGAAGATTTCCCAGAGTAATATTCCGTAGGACCAGACATCACTCTTAATCGTGTAGATTCCTTCAAACAAGCTTTCAGGCGCCATCCACTTTACGGGCAGACGGGCCTGTGCAAAAGCCAGGAGGTCAAATGGTGAATTTTCCACATGCAAACATGACTTTTCTTTTGTTGGCTAAGTGATAACATGGATTATTTTCTTAAGGTCACTCAATGCTTCACTGAGAAAATCCTGTTCTTCAAGTGCAAGCTTTTTACTTTTGAATTAACATTCCAATAGAGTAACCTTGAAAAACAAAAACCGCACTTCTTTAAAACTCATCTTGAACAAAAGCCCATGCTTGGAATCAGTATGTTTAAAAGGAGACACTTTCCACAAAGGAGTAGCCACGAGCTGGCCTGAGGTAAGTAGGCAGTGATGCATTCATGGGATGTTTGGTGAAAGCAGTTTGTGGAGGAACGTAGGTGAAATGCCATCCACGAGAATGTGGTGAATGGCATATGTCATCACTTCCAGAAATGATTCAAGTGGGCTCTGTGGCTTTAGTAATAGCCAGAAGCACGTAAGGGGTTTTGTGCTGGTACAGTCTCAGATTAGGATCAAGACCCAGGCTGGGTGGGTAACTGGGCAGAGTGATTGTAGCAGCTTCTTTCTCAGGGGCTAAGGAGCCCTTTGCTGGGTCTGATTAATCTGCCAAGTAAAATCAAAGCCTAAGAAACTCTTTTAAAATCCTATTCAAACAGACAAACTGAATCATGCAGGCTAGTCAGGTTAATTTGGTTAATTAAAAGAATTAAACATGGTTGCAAATGGAGTTCACCTTCCCATATAAGACCACCACCATGTATATTCCTCATCTTTGTGGCTTTAGCTCTGATGGTAGAGGCACAGAGCTGAGATCAGCGAAGATGATTACTTGATTCTAGTGTGAATACAGTTTAATTTTATTTTTGACACTTACTGGATGTTTGCTCTGGACAGGTGCTTTCATGTTGGTTTTATTAGTTTATTCCCACACCCCTAGGAAATAAGTATATAATCCTGCGGGAAGCACGATCCCATAGTGGTTATGCCACACTTGGGCCGTAGACCATTCATGTCCTAATTTTTGTGCCATGTAACCAAGGGCAAGTTATCTTTCTGCGCCTCTGTTTTCTCCCCCACCAAGGGAGTACATGAGCATTAGATAAATTAATATATGTAAAGCACTTAGAATCATGCTTAGCGAGAGTAAGCATTATGTCAGCCTCTGCTGTTATTATTTCACAAGAAGAAACAATGAAATAGAGAGAAAGCCCAAAATGAATAGTCAAAAAGAAGGGCTGAAGTCAGGCATAACTCTTAAAAGCCATACTCTTCTATCTATACAATTTTATCATCTAGTAGTTCTATTAGTGTTCTAGTAAATGACACATTGTCCTTAGTTTTAACAAATAGATTCAGTCTTGAATTCTCCCTGAGCAACAGTAATAGTTTAACAAACATTCATTAACAAACATTTAATTGAAATATTATTTTAAAAAAGCTATATTATAGCTATCACATATTCCCACAATTGGAAACATAACTCAGTAGTTGCTTTATAGCTAATAGGGCTGAGATAGGTACAAGAACATTTTTTAGTATGGATTGTACTCGAAAGTTGTAATCAATCTATTCTTACTAACCCTCAACTTTTATTATAAATGGGATGCTCCTTGAAGCTGTAAAATCCTTCGTAAGCATAAGAAAGCAAACTTCTGTGAGGAAGTTTTTGGTGTTATCATAAACCAAAACACATTAGTGAGTACAGATATTTACCATAACAAAGGCAAAACACAAAATGATGGTCTAAAAATATGCAAGGGCCCCTCCCTGGTGGCAAAAGGGGTTCAATCACAGCAGTATGAAGCTATCCATAGCCACTGCAGCATGAGTTTGATTCGGGGCCAGGGAGGTGACCCACATGGCACAGCACAGCTCTCCTGTCTCACCACTGCTCCCCTCTGCAGTGTGTATATCTGTCAGTCTGCCTGTTCTGCTCCCCACTCTGTCTCTGGTGAATCCACCTCATCTCCCACACCTCTGGCCTATACCCCAAGTTCTTGGATGTGTAAATAAATAAATCTTAAAAAAATTAAAATATGCAAGAAGTAGCATTCTCACATTTCCTCTGATCACATAGTTGGAATCACTCATAATGTCACGAGCCAATCCAAAATCACATATCTTCACCACTTTCCCATGGGTCACAAGAACATTCCTGGCAGCCAGGTCTCTGTGAACACACTATAAAGAAGGAAATTGGAGGATTATTTACTATGCTGCGTATCATCACAGAGTAGACTCTTTCCTCTAGTTTCAAGTCAGCAGAAGTTACAGATGATGGAAAAGATCAAGGTGTCGTCAAGGTATCTTATCTTTACTGGGCACAGACACTCATTATGATGTGACAAGTTGGGTCACCGCTGTGACCAGTTTTTCAGCTACTGTGGCTGCAGTCATCCTCTCTGCATAAAGGTCATTCCCAGAGGCCAAAGGGGAAGGGTTCTTAGGAAGGTTAGACCTTCAGGGGAAGTCATTGCCAGAGGCTGTCTTCCAGCATGCTTATGGTGGGTGTGGAGAAAATTATCTTCTTGCTGACTGAAAAGTAGAGTATAATGGAGTCATATCAAAGAAATATTCAGAGAAAAACTAAAATGAAGTTTGACAGACGAAGAAAAATTGGAGGGAACATTTTGAGACGATGTGGCATTAAACCAAATGATCTGCCAAGAAAATGTCATCTATGAAGGAAGATTTAAAATTTTTTTTATTATAATGAATAGTTTATATTACATCATTTTGTGTCTGTTTCCATCTCAGTTGTAATCCCTGTGGACTTCCCACCACCAATTCACCTGTGAGTCATCACCATAGTCCTGTTCACTCGCCCCCCTCCCCCAATTTTTGATCCCATTCCCCACTCCACCCCCAAAAAATGTCTCTGGTATATAGTTATTCATTATTATTTCCCCCCCCCCAGTCCTTTATGCTCCTGCTATGAGTGAAACCATCTGGTATTTTTCCTTTTCTTTCTGACTTATTCCACTAAGCATGATCCTTTCCAGCTTCATCCATGTTGCTGGAAAAGGCATGCATTTATCATTTTTGATTGCTGAGTAATATTCCATTATATATATGTACCATATCTTTTTAATCCAGTCATCTACTTTTGGGCATTTGGGTTGTTACCATGTCTTTACAATTGTAAATAAAGCAGCAACAAACATGGGTGTGCAGGTGTCTTTTTGAATCAGTGTTTTTGTGTCTTTTGGGTAAGACACCTAGGAGTGGGATTGCTGGGTCATAAGAAAGCTCCATTTTTAGCAGCTTGAGAAACCTCCAAACAGTTTTGAAGGAAGAGTTTTAAAGAGATAGGGCACTAGTAGCAAAGGTCCAAAATGCTCTATTGAAAAATCAAAAGCAAAGCCCATAAAAATGGAAATCACTCAGGCTCTCTCCTACCTATCCAGCTTCTAACAGTGCTGCCCACGAGCAGCTTCTGTTTATATCTCACCTACTTTACCACCAGGTTCCTGCAACCTGGCTTCCAGCTCCCACTGTTCTGTCCAAGCAGCACTGGCCATGCCCCAGGAGCCCCTGCACAGCACCCAGCTAGTCCCCCTCTGACTTGACGGCTCAATGATCTCTGACACTCTTTGGCCAGGCTTCCTCCTCCAGGTCTTCCCTTCCCTGCATTCTGCAACCCCCTGTTGTCTTTCTACTGCACTGGTGATTCCTGTTTCATCCTGTGGCTTCGTGCTTGAACCTGCTCCCATCCCCCAGGGCTGCACCTCCTCATTCCACACCTCATGAACCACTTCGTTCACATATAGGGATGTAGCCACCATCACCCAAACCTCTGTTTCCAACCCAAACATTTCTCTTGAGCTTCAGATAGGAAATGGCAAGTTTCTGCAGGGTTAAGCTCTCCTTGGGTGCCCCGTGACTCTCACAGTCAACATTTAACTCATCACCTTTCTTAATAAACTTCCTCTTAATTCTGTTTCCCCTACCATAACCCACATTCTGTGTTGGATTTCCTTTCCCTTCAAAAATCTCCCCTAAACCAAGCACGAACCTTCAAAAAGTCTTTTCTGCACTGCTACCCTCCGCCCCAGATCTGATGTACCTTCCCCCTGTCCCCTTTTCCAGAGCTTACTTGAACACAATTTTAATCGCTGCAGTGTAATCTCTGAGTTGCATGTCTGCCCAGCTCTCTCCTCCCTCCACGATGAGATTTGACTCCCATCCCAACATTAGCACTGTGCTTGCCAACAGTCAGTGCTCAGTTGGTGTATGATGGAGTCAAAGAGCTTAGGAAAGACACTGAGTATCAAGCAGAGGAGCAGGGGAGAATGCTTAGGAGAGAGTGATGAGCTGATTCAGAGGTAGCAGCCTACAGAAAAAGCTAGGGAGGTCTAAGAAACTGAAATTCTTCAAAATGACCTTACTATTACAAGCCCAAGGAGAAAATAGAGCAGAGTCCCTTGATCTCATATGAGTAGCTTGAGTATGGGCTTAACATGAGCAGCTAACCAGGTCAGACTGTCGGGGAGATACTCACCCGCCCCTAATCCTATACAGAAACAGTCATGCATTGGCATAATTACACTTTGATCACTGACAGATCACGTACACACTGCGGTCCCTACACGCTGCCTAGATGTACCGCAGGCTGTGTCCTCTTGGCTTGTGCTAAGTACATGACGACACTCGCATAACAAGGAAATCACCTAGTGACATTTCTCAAACTTGTCCCTGTCTTGAAGTGACTCATAACAATACTTGTGAAAGCAGAATGGTAGAAGTGTAGGTAATCTCTAGATAAAGAAACTTGGGAAAATCTAGCAACAGGTAGGCAGCAGAATGTGCCTCAACACGGGTGAATTGGTGGTGGGAAGCCCATGGCGATTACAACTGAGATGAAGAAATGCACAAATGAAGAACGATGTAAAAAAAATAATAAATATAATAAATATAAGAATATAAATATAATAAATATAAGAAAAAAACCCTGCAACTTTAAAGGGTTCCCCTGGTGGCACAAAGTGTTAAAGCACCGCATTATGAAGATCGCATTATGAAGATCGAGGAATCCACTGCAGAAAGAGTCCACCCCCCACCCACCCTCCCCCAGGGAGCTGACGCACATGATGCGGCAGACCTCTCCTGACCCACTTACTGCTCCCCTCCGCTCAGCAGTGTATTTCAGTACATCTGCCTGTTCTGCTTCCCACTCTGTCTCTGGTGAAACCCCTCACCCACCACACCTTTGGCCTGTACCCCAGTTCTGTACGCATAAATAAGTAACTCTTTTTTAAAAAAAATGCAACTTCAAAAAAAAAGAAAAATGCACAAAACAAATGATGTAAAATAAATAAATTTAAAGAAAGAAAAGAATGTTCCTTAAAAGGAGGGGTAAGAAAATATTAAGAGAGAATAATTTTTCTTAGCTACTGAGCAAAGATGCCCACATTTGAAAAGAAGATCCAACAAAGTACATACACTTTGAATATCCATGAGGAAAAGATCTTTAGAATTTCCAACTGGGATCATATTAAATACACAGATTGATTTGGAGAGAACTGACTTTTTGTTTCAAGCATGGCATTTCTCCTATAGAACATAGTAGTACTCGTTTATTCAGATTGCCCTTTTTGCCTTCTAATAAAGTTTCACAGGTTTTGTCATACAGATCTTACATGTCGCTTGTTATGTTTATCTCAAGATGTTTCTGTGGGTTTAGTTACTTACAATGTAAGAAGTTTGTAGCTTTTAAAAAAAGCAAAAAGTTTCTCCAAATTCAGGGAAAAAGAGAGGAGTTAGTGGAGCATGTGGAGGAGAGAGGATGGAAGAGAATAGGAGACTCAAAGGAAAAAGAGAAGATGATGGTAAGAAAACAAGAGGGGAGCGTAGCCAGAGGAAAGACTTCAATGTACTTAGCCTCGTGAGAACTTTGTAAGGTCAGAAAACAGCCAGGCTGAAAGGCAATGATAGAAGAATACAAAATTGTGTGGAGACCATGGTTTGAAACAGGCTATCATGGGCTCCTTGCTGCTCCAGCTTAATGGAACTGGGACTCGCCGGGATGAGCTAGCTCTGCAGAGACTATTGCTAGTCCACCAGTGACCAGCAAGACAGTGACCAGACAGAGCTGTCTGGCGTAACCGGCTTGACAAGCAGAACATGCTGGATTTTAGGCTTCTTGTCCTTCCTGGGTGCATGTCCATGTACAGAGCATGTCCTGAACACCCCGAACTGCCCTAGGAAGGACCAGCGCCTCATTTCAGGAGACATCCCTGAAAACTTCTTACCTGAAGGCTTCAGGGGACTTTGGACAATCTGGGAGCACTACGAACACCTTGGGATGGGACCTTTACTACAATTAACCCACAGTGGAGGTAAAGTTCTAGGTGATGCCAAATGCGAAGCGGGAGCGAGGGAGGCAGATTTTAAGTGCTACAAGTTTAAAATAATAAGGAAAAAAATACAATAAATATACTTTTTTTCAAAATTATCTTAGTATCTTCTTTAAAAGGAACTTACTGATTTAAACTCCAGGAATTCCATTCCTTTGGCAACTTGATATGCAAAGCAAAGAAGATCTTCAAATGTAAGCACATTCAAGTCCTCTTCTTCTTCCAGCCTTTTTTGGTTTTCATATTCAATTTCATCTATAAGATAGAACTGGTTTTTATTTTTTCCCAAAACTCTGAGAAGTTACTTTATTAAATATCTATGAGGATGTTATGCAGTAGAAGATACTAAAATGTACAAATAAGCTACCATACCATTGTCCTGATAGCGTTCCAGCTAACCTATTTATTTATGCTGAGAGCAGTGCAGCCTGTGAAGAGTCACCTAAAGAGTCTTTCTGGTCAGAAGAATAAAGTCTCAGCTGCTACAGTGACACAGGCTTCCTGACTAGGAAGGAGTTTTAGAGGATTTTTTGCACTCGGCAGTTTGTCACATTGGGAAAAGAATGATCACTAATCTACCACATTTTATGGCCTATATTGTGCACATAATGTTTTTCCACTTAATCATTCTAATAGCCCCATAAGGAAAGTACTGGGAGACCCATATTACAAGAGAGAAAATTGTAACTTCGCCAATGTTGTCCAGTCAAAAACTGAAAGAACCAGAGGTTAATCCATTTTAGTCTAATTCCAGAGCTCACCATCTTTTCCATTTATCAAGTAACAGGATGGATCTATTGAATATCTTACAATGGATTAATTAATATCTGATCAAATAAAATAATCTTTAATACTTATTAGTTGAACACCAACATAAAATTTTTAACATGTAGATTGTTGGCTTTTAACTACCTTTACAACAAATAGATATTAATATAACTTACTAAATGACCTTAACAAAGAAAAACAAGCTTTTGCATTTACTCACTTTTTAAAAATAGCTAACACAAAGCTTTTGTATCCATTTTCATTTTTTCAGAGATTTATTTATGCATACAGAACTGGGTAGAGGCCAGACATGTGTGGGGGGTGAGAGGATTCACAAGAGACATAGTGGGAAGCAGAACAGGCAGATCTACTCAAATATACTGGTGAGGGGAGCAGTGGGTGAGTCAGGAGGGATCTGCTAAGCCATGTGGGTCACCTCCCTGGCTGAAGATCCAACTCATGCTGCAATGGCCACAATAGTGCTGTGCTTTAATTCGTTGAGCCACCAGAGAGGGACCTATCCATTTCCATTTTAAAGTGCTACTAGTTAGAATAAAATATTACCTTCAGATTGAAATGAATTCCCATTGAGCCCTGAGATATGATCCGAGTCCTGGTGTATTTGAACTTCTCTTGAACCAGGCATACTATTAAAAAAAAATTTAATTATTTATGTTCTTCTTCTGAATATACATTTCATTAAAAATGAATGTAATTCATCAAAAATTGAATTCTAGTTATAAATGGTTGTTTTTTTTAAAGATTTATTTATTTGTGCATACAGAACTGGAGTACAGGCCAGAGGTGCAGGGGCGGTGAGAGGCTTCACCAGAGACAGAGTGGGGAGCAGAACAGGCAGATCTATGAAGTACACTGCTGAGGGGAGCAGCGGGCGGGTCAGGAGAGGTCTGCCACACCATGTGGTCACCTCCGGGGCAGGCGGGAATCGAACTTATGCGGAAGCGGCTTTAGATTCTCAGTGCTGTGCTTTAACCCACTGTGCCACCAGGGAGGGCCGGGTTTTAATTTAAAAGCACAGCATCAACATGTCTATCTTTTGTGGACATCAAAAATATATGTGCGATGGAGTTTTCAGTCTAACCAGTGTCAGAAAGTGATCCTTGTTTTCTGTATGGATGGAGTTTGGTAGTTCAAAGGGCCTACTTACTCCGTACCCATCTCTATAAACTGGATGTCAATATCGCATTTTATAAAAAAATAAATTACGGCCCTCCCTGGTGGCGCAGCGGGTTAAAGCACAGCACTGAGAATCTGAAGCCACTTCCGCATGAGTTCGATTCCCGCCTGCCGCCTGCCCCGGAGGAGACCACATGGCGAGCCAGACCTCTCCTGACCCGCCCGCTGCTCCCCTCAGCAGTGTACTTCGTCAATCTGCCTGTTCTGCTCCCCACTCTGTCTCTGGTGAAGCCTCTCACCGTCCCTGAGCCTCTGGCCTATACCCCAGTTCTGTATGAATAAATAAATAAATCTTTAAAAAAAATAAATAAATAAATTACTATGATTTGCTGAATCATGAAGCTATAAAACACAACTATGAACTTATACCTCATTCTTCTAGCTCTAAACTCAGCCTCCTTACAACATTTCACGTAATATTAATTTTCCATAGAGACCTATAAGTATTTTATCATCAGTCTTTTTCTCAAGTTAGCCTTTGGAAATCTCATTTCTTTTTCTTGTGAAGTTAATAAATGGTAACAGTGAAAATAGCTTATACCGTATATTGGACGTACATGCATAGACTTCTTCACTGAGGAGTTGGTGTGCATTATCTATAAATAGTGATTTCATTATTTTATAATACAAGTTCACTCTAATTTGCAATTTCCATGTCTTTGAAAATGGCTTAATGCTTTCAGGCCACAAATATTCCAAAAGTTATTGCTTCAGTGTATTTATTACCCAAGTGACTGGAGTGAGTCAAAGGTCTAAGTTTACCAAAGCTACTTATTACCAACTATAGAGACTCACATATCTGACTCATTGGGATGGGCTCGCTGGTCTAGAATATGAAATTGTTATTGAATTTTCTCAGTTTTAGAATATAAACTGAGAAATGGATGAAAAAAGGAGGCTTGGTGTGACCCATGTGATCAGTAAAAGGTGATGGCACAGAGCTGTGCATACGGATGTCTGTTGGGACCCTGTGGCTTTAAGATGTTGGTCTCTGTCTTAGACTTAGAAGGCCAAAGGTCTGACTGAACTTACTTGAAAACACAACTGGAATCTCAAACACACCCTCCAAAAGTCCCTTGGTAAAGATAAAAGTCTGACAAATCAGTCTGTTAGAACAAGACAAAGCTTTCACATATGCAGGGAAATAGGAATGTATTGTGGATTAAGAATCTTTCTGTCCTCAACAGAATGCCTGTGCATCCATTCAGAGAAAGTTCTCAGAGTTATGATGTTCAAGTAATTAGCAAGAGATTTCCAAGGATGAGGACGAGTACCCCGCCAGACTCCTGCAGTCCTCATTCATGCATGCTAGAACAAGAAATTTCACCAGCACTGAGAATCACTCAGGATCCCTGTAGACGCCACATACAATTCCACACATGGACAATATTGCCACCACTTTTATTTTGTCCCCGTCACATATGTCAATCCATTCCAATTTAAAAAAAAAAATCCAGTCTATGAATTTAGAACTCCTTTGTGCAATATCCCAGGGTCTGAGTCAAGAGCTTTGGAAAAAAATATTTATTCCTTCTATATGTATATTAACCAAAGGCTGAATAATGCACCTTTCCCAAAACTAGATACATATCTAGGGTGTGATTGGGGCACAGACAGACAGAGATTGGTTCAGCTACAGGGACTGTATAGTGAGGAAAAAAGCTCTCATTATTTTAAATCAACAGGAACTACAGCAAAAATCAGTGATCTTTCTATGTGGAACCCACAGACCATACCGTCTTTGGCTGATCTGTTGCCTTTAGAAATGGTCAATGGGGTCTGTTCAACTACTATAGTTTGTGTTCTATATGTAGAATCGCGAAACCTTGATTCAGGTTCTTACCTGGGATTTGGATGTGATTGGAAAGTCGGGTAAAAACTGAAATTGTGTTCCTTGAAAATCTCCGTCCATGTTCTATGAAATTTTTCTCTTTTACTTCGTAGATAGTTGAGGAGATCACCATAGCAACAATATTCAAAAATCAAGTAAACTGGTCCTGAAATAGTGACAGGTTTAGTTGTAGGTGTACAAACACCATATAGCTTTTCAGATATCTATGCAGCAGACAACACTGTAGGAGCGCTCACATCTCTCCTGACTGGGAGAGTATCTCTTTTTCTGCGCTTCTAGGTCTTCATACACTTTCAATTCCGTTTCAGATTTTTTTGCAGCCCCTGTAGCCTTCCACTTGACCTTTTTTGTACATGTGTCCTCACCAATGACCACTGACCACCTGTTTGCATCTGGGAATAATATTCCAGGTGCTTTGTGAGACCTTGGTAGACACATGCTAATTTGTTGTTTGCCTGATGAGGGAGAAGATAACTCTGATTCTCTAGAAGGTCCATTTTCTCTCTTTTTAAGTCTCTGCACCTAGCAAACTGTCTCAAATTTTGGACACAACATTTGAGAAATTTTAGGTAGAAGTAAGAGAACAGGAGTTCATGCTCCATTGAACTCTGGAAAAATGAAGTTTTCATACTGTCTTGGCTGCACCTTCTAGAAGCAGCCCAATTAATACAGTCACAAGCTGTGCAGTGATTCTCACCTCTGCATTATCTGAGTAGTTAGAGTAGTTACCATAGCATGAGCTACCAGTGCTATTCTTTTTAAGTAGGTTAGAATCATGTGGCATATCCTAATAAAGAGAGGACTCTCTATTGATCTGTATGATTATAGAGCACACAATATTAATTCCATATAGATTTAGGGACCATGTTGTGACTGAGAAGAGAGGGAAGTACAAGAACAAATGTCCATCTTTCTCTTTTCTGGCTAATTTTTTAAAAATTGCATTAATATAACATTGATTTACAACACTGCCTAAGTTTTAGGAACACAGCTTCACCTCTTCAAAAGGTATGTTACCACCGTACACCTGCCACCCAAGATCTAATGACCATCCACCACCATCCAACCGACTCCCTCTACCTACTCCTCCCATCTCTAAATTATTTTTGATTTTGGGTCATCAGTGGGAGTTGGTTACCTGACAGTGTGCATGCCCCCAGCAGATTCACAATGTTCTCATGGTTTCCTAGGTGAGTCATCATTTTGAGTTCGGACATGAGAGCCTCTCTTTCAGAACTGTCTGCTTTTTCTGTCAGTGGAACCACATAAAACATGCAAAATTAAAGTAAAGTAAGAAGTTTTGTTTATTTTAAAAGCTAAAATTTTCTTCAGTTCATGACTATTTGCAAAAAATAATACATGAAATTTGAATAGTAAAATCCTGTGTGTTGAGACAGAGTTTCAAAGATTGCAGTATAAAAGTTGAATCTGATAATGTGCCTTGCTCAAAGTCCTTATAATTGACTTTCAAAAAACAAAATGAAACTTAACAAGATAAAAAAAGCTTTATCACAATAAAAATTAATAATAATGCTAAAAGGAGAAATGTACAGTATTTGTTTTGACTTGTGGATCTGCTGAAGTCATAAAGAGACAAGATGGGATGTCAGGAAGAGTGGTTTATGCCAGCCTGTAGTCCTCAGATCTACAACCTAAATTCATCAGTAGGTCCAGTGGTGAGGTAGTCAAAGGGGACCAATCTCCACTAACCAACTTCTCAAGAGATTCTGATCATGAGAAATAGAGCTGCTGAGCAGGTTAAAATGGACCCACTGATCAATGCATTCTCTCCCTAGAAAAAAGTGTAGCTAGCTTGGCAAATTGTGCCCATAATCCTGCCTAGAAGCATGATATGTGAATGGTCACTTGAGAACACACAGGTCTCCGTCATTGAGGCTAATGTGACAGCGGAGCCCCTGGCGACAAAAGACTGGCTCCTGTACTTCCTTCTCTGAGCTCCAGGCATGTACTCTTCTAGTACGTGTTCTTACAGGTTGAGCAACCTTTCTTTATATTCAGTGAAGGTTTGATTAGCTATTTCTAGGTCTTATTGTCTCCTAGTCCTGATGGGAGCTTTTCCAGAGCATTGATGTTATTTGTTGTGACTTGAGTGAGCTCTCAAGGGAAATTGTTGAAATTGGAATGAAATTATTGGCTATGAGTACTATGACCCCTCAGTACTTCATGTCTTCTGCTTTCAATTGCTCACAATTTATTCCTCATGAAAAAAAATGTATTTTATGGTGTGCTAACTTTTCCAAGATATTTCCACCTACCATGACCTTACTTTCATTCAGTCATTCATCAAACAAGTATTTACTGAGTATCTAGTATATACGAGGCCATAGGCTAAGTTGGGATGATATGATAGCCAAGACACAGCCCTCTCTTTCTAGAGTTCATGTATAGTCTCCTGGAAAAGGGAGATGAGAAAATAAAATTGAACTATAATGTGATAAAGCAATGTGGGCAATGAAGGTAGGAGTGTTCTGGGCTGGTTGAAAACCCCACCAAATGTGTACCTTGTGATATGAAAAAAATGGACACTCACCAGGTGAATTCACACTGAACAATGAGCAAAGATAAATAATGGACAAGGACATAGAAAAGAAGGATAAAGAAAGGAAAGAGCATAACAACAGATAAAGTCCCCTTCCTGCATGAGGCTTACAGATGGAAGGGCAGATAAGGCATTGACTGAAAAATGAAACAAATATTAATTACAACTGTGTTAAATTCTATGAGAAAAAGATCCAACAGATAGCATATAGCAGGGAACTTGACCTCATCTGTGGTGTGAAAAGCTTTCCTGAGGAAGTGATATTTAAGTAGGGCTCTGAAGGAGGAGTGGGAGATAAGTTGTGTGAAACGGGAAGGGTAAGCAGAAGGTTCAGCCTGTGCAAAGACCTGGAGAGGGAGGGAGCATAATGTCCTGGAGGAACTGAGAGAGGGCTGGGAGCTGACATGTGAGTTGGAGAGGTGAATGTCAGTCAAACCATGCAGGGCTGTGTAGACAGTATATTTCAAGAGTAGTTGAAAGCTACTCTTAACAACTTGTAAATGGTAAATAAGAAAATTATATGATCTGCTTGACATCATAGCCATCAGTCAGGCGTCGGTACAGAGAATCCAAAAGATGGTGGAAGTACATATAAGGCACCTGCTAGGAAGGCCATTCAGAAGAGAGAGACTTGGTCTCAAAGAGTTGTAATAGAATTAACAGAAGAAAGAATGGGCCCTCCGTGGTGGCGCAAGAGGTTAAAGCACAGCACTATGAAGCTAGCTCCAGCCACTGCAGCATGAGTTTGATCCCAGGCCAGGGAGCTGACCCACATGGCACAGCAGACCTTTCCTGTCTGGCCTGCTGCTCCCCTCAGCAGCCTGTTTTGCTCCCCACTCTGTTTCTGGTGAATCCTCTCACTGCCCGTACCTCAGGCCTGAACCCCAGTTCTTTTATGCATAAAGAAATAAATCTTGAAAAAAGAGAGAGAAGAAAGAATGAACTTAGGTGACACTAAGCAGGAAATCTGTTAGAATTAGCTTATGGCCCCAAGGTTACAGAATTATGTAAATGATGGAAAATAATCAATTATTTATAAATAATCATCATAATAAAAAGAAATAGCTTTGGGGTGTTAGGACGGGGATGGTTTTAAGGAAGGGTCCTGGATTTCTCGTTTGCCTGACTGTGGAATGTGAGTCACTGTTAACTCCTAGTCACTGTTAATTCCTAATCACTGAGAAAACAGGTGTGGATGGAGGCCAGGGCTAAAGGAGTTCAGCTTGAATATGTTGACTTAAAGGGACTTTTAGGACCTCTGAGCATTTGAAACGCATATGAACCTGAAGCTCATTTGAACCGGCAGCTCAGAGAAAGAGGCAATCATGAGAACCAAGGTGTGGTCGAGATGGTCGGCCATAAGCATGAGCAGTGAAAGTGGGAGGAGATTAGAAGGCCATGAATCAGCTTCCAAGCTGTCTGAGAGGTAGGGGGAAGCCCATAATAGGGTGGAGCGGAAACCAAGAGAGTAAAGTGCTTAGTTACAGAGAAGAGTCAACTGAATCAATTGGTCCCGAAAAATCAAATAACATGAGGGCAGAAAAACACCTATTAATCTTACTTTATTGAAGGTTCCTGTTCATCTTAACAAAAGCCACCTGGGGGTGCAATGATGGTAAGGAGTAGACGGAGGTGAGGTATTAGATGCCAGAAGGGAGTGGATGGAGCAATAAGTGGAAGTGAGAACACAGAGGGTTCCAACTGGCCTTTCTACCTAGAGCCTATGTCAAAATGTAAGAAACAACATCTACCCACAGCAACAGTATCTCCCAAATATTGAAGTTAACAAGAACCAAAGAGAGAAGAGGAAGAGGTGGGGTTTTATATTCACGATTTCTATTTTCTATTCATAACTCAGTGGATGCTAGCTCTAACTTGCTCCATCTTAGCCTTAAAAAAAGGATTTAAAAATATAAGACGAGAAGGAGAGGCAGGAGACTGTGGCTCCCATCTTGGGGCATTTTAGTGGGTATCACTCCCATTTGACAGTACCTTTCAACATTTTGACTGCAACTTGGATAGAGACTCCTGTTTTGCTAATTCCATAAGCCGTTGCATTCATCACCTTACCAAAAGCACCAGATCCTAGCACTTTCCCTGCAAAATAAAGAGGAAGCCAGTGCATGTCAAAGATTTTCCAACAGACAGGAAATGTTCCAGAAGCATTGAGAACATCCAATTCTTACCAAATTCTAAATTTTCTCTTGGAAACTCCCATTTGAGGTCATATTCATATTCTCTGAAATCAATGTAGAAGTACTCATTGTCCAAAGAGCCGGTCACCTGGACCATTTGCAGCTGGCTTTCATACCTAAATTGCTTCAGAGATGAAATAATGAGTCCATTAGCAAGAGGCAGTTTTGTAGAAAGGGAACAATGTTGTATTTTTACCTTTGCTTTACCTTTTTGTACTTGTGACAAATTAGCATGGTTAAAACGGCAATGAAGGGAAGACAAAGCCCAATTGTTGCGTAGAATGAAATGTTGTCGTGGATGAAAGGGAAGGGACCTGCAACAAAACAGTGTCACTAAGCACTGAGTTAGAATTCCTGGTTGGTATTATAATAAATGCTCGTTATAATCTCACATTCTTTTGGAGTAACTATGATTTGCATTTTACAAATTCTGCCCTCCCGACAGAAAATCAGACAGTAGCCATCTAAACATCGTTTCCAATGCAGACAGTTTGAAATGATTCTGAAACCATTTTGAAAATCACACTAGGGCTATAAAAAATTGTATCTATTTAAACCACAAAATGTTCAAGTCAGGTAAAAGAAGAAGTCTGTGTTCCCATTATGAAAACAGCATTAGAATGCTGGGAAGTTAGTTTGGCAATGCTCGGGATTCAAACAAAAGAGTAGGTTCAGAAGGTTTAGAATTGTTTAACTTTGGAGGGCTCTAGAAAACAAAGGAACCATTTAAGACAGCAGGCTAAAGGGATATGAGAACATCAACCAAAAGGGAAAATGGGAACGACTCCACTTCTTAGATCTGTTTGGAGTTCCATCCTTCAATCGATTTTTATTGCACTGGAGCTCATGGTTCTAGCTATGTCACTCCAACTCGTGAGTCACAGAATGTGAGCTGAAGTCCCTCCACCCCTGAGATACAAAACAGTGGAAGTGCAGTGGGGATTCTTGTCTGAGTCAGAAGCCTTCTTGTCTCATGCACTAAACGTATGCTGTCTTGTAAAATCCCCCAAATAATAGCAATGAGAAGGACCAACTTCTAGTGGGGAATTCCTGAAGGTGGCATATCACAATGGCAACTGCTGTGTACCTGGTGAATTTAAATGGACTCTTTTACAGGAGCTGCCGAGGGAATTGTGCGCACAGCACTTCACCAGGAACCCTTTCACAGCCTCGCTCATGTTCAGAGTGCTGCTGGAGGTCCACTTTCCAAATGCTATCTTGCTTGCCTTTTTATTCCAAATGCCTTCTGTGATCTCCTCTGTGCAGCTGAAAAGACATGGCAGACAGAGAAGTTGTATAGATGGGACTCAATTGGACATTAGGGTTTCTCTAGTCCGTTCTAAGATAGTCATTTATTACAGGCTCTCAGAAATAACCTACAACCATTTAAAGTGATGATTGACTCAGAAAATAAGCATTCCCACTGTCTTCATGAGAACTGCTATGTCATAGGAGTGAGGTGCAGGGTTATGTTCTTCCCACACAAGAGATACAAATGTCCTTATTACTTGGGAGACTTGTCTGTACACTTCTTCCAGGACCAAGATGGCAATGGATAGCCTTCAGAGAAGCAAGACGCCTGACTTGCTGAAGCCTCAGCTCGCACTTCAGGTTTCCCTGTAGAGAACAACAGTAGAAAAAACTCATGTAATATGGTACTTTCCAGAAGCTTCATAAGCTGCTTGTTCACTGCTAACAGTTTTGCTTCTGGGAGGGCTTGTAACTCAAGGTCGCTGGTTACTCCCTTTTCCCCTCTCCTCATGTAACCCATCCAGGCTACCCTACCACATCTCTGGGGAACACCATTTTTCCACGGTTAAGATCCTATAGGAGGGAGATGACTTGACACCTTAAAATGACTTTTCACTTCAAGAGAAGTAACTGCAATGTCTACATCTTTTTCAAAGTCTGCAAAAAGTCCAATAAATCGTACTCTCATCTTTATATAGTTTGAAGAAACAAAAATTTAGATAAATAAATAAATAAATGGCAGGTAATATGACTTTTAGCCTTTCTTTAATATAGTCTTTAAAGTACTAAAGTCAAAAAATTCCCACTTTGAAGCACATTCAGAAAGGACGTAAAGGAAGTCTTTTTGCTTTAAAGGATGAACACAAAAATAGATACTGATATCTACAATTACACCTATCTATACAAAGACAGTAGATATGAAAGCAAAATTTTAATATGTTTCAGCACATAAAAACAACTTTATGTTATTCCTTCTATATCATTTCTTACTTAGCTTTTTATGGTTATAGTTAACAAATAATTACAAAGTTATTACTTGAAAATCAAATTTCTTGACAATTTAACTTACTTCTTATATTCAAAGTGAACATTTTTGTGAACTCGGCATCATCATTTTCTGCATGAAATATATATTCTCCTGGCTGGTGTTTATGGTTGCAAAACTTAGATATGCTGTTTGAAAAAGAATGAAAGACAGACTTAGGTTATCCAGGAGGTGGGAGAAATGAGTGATGGCGTACAGGGGGAGGAAGCTTAGACACTCACTCACTAAAGCTCAGTGGACAAGGAGTTATGCTAGGCCCTTGCTACTCAAAGTATGGTCAAAAGAGAGAAGGCATCAGCACTGTGTCATGGGGGAGCTTGTTAGAAATATGAAACCTCAGGCCCTACCCTAAACTTACTGACTCGAAACTGCATTTCAGATGATCTCTGTGTGATCACATAATACTGAAGATTGAGAAGCAGTGATCTAGACTGGGGCCCCTCAGTGAGACAAAAAAGATTCCTTTCCCTATTGTTGCAGGAATCTACAACAATATACATGTATGAATCTACAACAATTATACATAGTTTCTGGACTAACCTGACTTCCCAGAAAAATGGAAGGACCTATGTAGTAGAAGATTCTATAACTCCCTGTTTTCTGAAAGGATGGCTCTCTGACTTAGGTCCTCAAAAGGACCCATGACCAACATTTGACTTTCATAGTAATTAACAGTGGTAAGCACTCAACTCACTGAATTTATGTAGAAATCTTTGCATAGTCTCAGCAGATTTTAGTATGTATTTTAGTGCTCAGCAACCACTCAGTATATTTTGTCATTTATGTCTTCATGTATTGAACAAAATTTTCCTTATGGCAGAAGAAGAAATCTAAGGTTTGTCAGAGATATTTAATTAGGTCACCTCTATAAAATATACTTAAAGTAAAACAAACAAACAATCAAACAAACAACTCAGATAGGCAGGGTAGAAATATAAACAAGAAGACTAGGGGTAAAAGCCTTAAACTAGAAGCTATGTAGGATGCAAAAGCTCTTAAAAAATGTCACTCCCCAAAGATATCATAATCCAGCTGGACGGACAAAACCTACATACATAGAGTAGATACAGAAATAAATTAAAGATCAGAGAAGGCACAGGCTGGGATAGAAAAGAAAAGTTCTGGGGGCTTCACAGAAGTAGGATTTGAGCTGAATTTTGGAATATGAGTTAAGTTTCATGAGAGGAAATGCCATTCGAGGAAGGGACCACAGCAAGACTTAAGACATGAGACAGGAATTCAAACAACTCAAGAGTGTAACAGAGAGGCCTCTTGACTGGAGCAGAGCACAGTGGGAGTGTTGTAACAGAGGGCTGGCGGATAGGATGAGAGCAGATGATGAGGGCTTTGAAAGGCGAGCCTAATAATTAATATTTAGGCCTGACGGAAAAGTCAGGAAGATTCCCGGGATTCTGTGCAAGACAAGAATGCCATGAATTTTCATTTTGTATTTTTGTTTACACTGATGTCGTTTGCAAGAGCTTATTGGGAAGTCTGGAGGCAGCAGTGTGTTACACCCAGAATTCATTCATTCATTCATCCTATTAAAGGGGGTAAATCCGGGCCCTCCCTGGTGGTGCAGCGGATTAGAGCACAGCACTAAGAAGCTAAAGCCACTTCAGCATGAGTTTGATCCCCACCTGGGAGGTGATCCACGTGGCACAGCAGACCTCTCCTGACCCGCCCGCTGATCCCCTCAGCAGTGTACTTCGTTGATCTGCCTGTTTTGCTCCCCACTCTGTCTCTGGTGGATCCTCTCACCGCCTCTGCACCTCTGTCCTGTACCCCAATTCTATATGCATAAATAAATAAATGTTTATAAGAAGAAAGTGGGCAGATCCTATTTGGGGAGGAGTCAGGCATACAAAGTTGAATTAGAAAAATAAGGTTTCTGTTCATACAGAAGTTTGGTGATGAAGGTAACTACTAAATAAGCAGTTAGGGGATAGTGTAGTAAGTCCTATGAAAGGAGAAGTAGAAGTTTAGATTTGAGAATTCAGAGCATGAGAAGATGGGTCATGTAAGGTGGGGATAATGGGAAAGGACAGGAAGAAGTAAACCCAGGAGGCACCAGAAAAAGCAACTGACAGGAGCCAGACTGGTTACACGAGAAGGAGACTAGAGGTCCCACTGAGTCCTAAGGTTTAAATCACAACCAGAAAATGGTAGAACAGCTTTGGAGACCATTTTTACCATTTTTACCAGTGTTCTGCATCTGTGACTGTGTGCAGGGATGAGAGAATCTATCAAAAGTTCATATAGTTGAAAGCTAAGCATTTAACAAGGTTGTTGTTTTTCCGTTTCCCTTGTTAACGAAACAGGTTGAAGAAGTAAAATAGGGAACTTCTAATTCTGACCTACTTTTGGACAATGACAAGGAACTGATTGGTGAAGTGGAAATGCTGGAAAGAAGGAGGGCAAGGCAAAGAGAAGACTGGCAACAAGCAAAGGCAGCCAGGTGCCTTGATTGGACTGCAGGAAGGTTCAAGAAGAGAAAGATGTGTCCTTCTCACTGCATGTTAGCAAAGAAAGAAGAGTGAATATTTTTAAAAAGCCAGGGTAGCTGGCCAAGAGTACCAGTCATGGTACCCCCCTTTGGACTACTCATTATCACGTGGACTTTAGCAAAATATTTTGTAAACATTTCCCTCTTTAGTCTATGCTGTTGAAATGCAGCATGGTTTGCCATGGTATTGATGAGACAGCATCTGAAATGATTCTATTGTTCCAGCTAGAAAGTTGGTCATGTAGACAGCCTCAACTCAAAAGTGAAGATGCAGGTTCTGTCAAACAGCTCTGTCCCTGTTTATGAGAATTAACCCTAGCAGTGCTAACAATTTGGTCACTAAACCTCCTCTGGGAATTCTGAGGGGACTAACCAATGAAGTGACAGAGATATGCAAAGCTTCCTCTTTCCCTTACAGTTTTTCTAAAAATGACCAGCTGGCATGAGATGGCAGATCAGGAAATCTGAGTTTACACTGAAATCATATCTTGGTGATTCAGAAGATGCATTCACATTACAGCTACGAAAAGAATGATCTCTCTGTGCAATCGAAGTACAAGGGGTTTTTCTTTCCATTTAGCGCCTAGAAGACAGGCATGGAGAAAGGGCAGGCTCTCTCCTGTGTCTCAGGGGGGTAATTTTACTATAAAGAGTGCTTTAGTCAAAGAGCAAGGAAGTATCAAAGTCATATCAGGTGCAGAGAATAACAAAGCATGACCTGGGGGGGAAGCTGAGAGCTTCTGAAACTCAAGAGTCAAAAGCTGACAAGACCAGAGGTGGCTTTACCACATAAGACACCCTGGGCCCAGAGAGTCTATCTACTTCAGACGACAGTTTTAGAAGGGCTGGGGGTTACGGCCAGTCTGAAAAGCATTCTCATCTGTTTGAATTTCTGCCCTGCATTTGATAAAGCTAGAAGGGGGCAAGAGAGAGGAACGGATGATTTTATATTACCCTATATA